AAATAATTACAAAATTTTTCTTTGTCTTCGAAAATCATTTCTTGTATTAGATTGTTGCTATCCCCTTGCGCTAATCGTCTTTCGACATTAAAAATTGTTCTAACCCAAAACCTGCGAACATTGCGTCTTGTACAATATCTCTTTTTCTCTTCAGCTCGCATTAATTCGTAGATAACGTATATTTGAATTAATTTTTCTCGAATAGCCTCTTTACATAAATTACTTTCCGGACATTTATAAATTTTTAAATATTTTATTAAATTCATTAAAGCAAACTCAGAGTCCAACATTTTGATAAAGTTATGCACATTTGTTTTGACTTCTTTTATGAATGTATGTGTTAAAACATTACGCTGAAATTTCCATCGAGAGTCCCATGGGGCGTATTTACGCCGGCGTAATGATCAATAAGCCAATCACAAGCTCGCTTGAATATTCATTTTTAAAATGAGTTTTAAAAGAGACATTGCGATTGGCTTGTTAATCTTTACGCCGCGTAAATACGCTCCATGGGACACACGATGTTTGTGCTGGCGTAACGAAACGGGCGTAAAGCCTGTGATTGGTCTAGTTTCTTTACGCCATACGCCGGTACGCCGTACGCTGCCTCCATGGGACTTCACCCTAACTTGCGTAAGCGTAACTTGTGTCGACCAATCACATCGTCTCATGATGGAAGCTGATACTTAAATAAGACGATGTGATTGGTCAAAGCAAGTTACGCTTACACAAGTTACGCCGCATGTGATGGCACTCTTAAGGGACGTCTACATTGGAAGTAAGCAGTAAGAAGTAGGAAGTAAGAATAAAAAATTGATCAATCATAGTTAATTATTCTTCTCATATTCGACTGTGGTTGGTCAATTTCTTACTCTTACTTCCTACTTCTTGCTAGTTACTTCCAATGTAGACGTCCCTTTAAGCATAGATAGGCATTCGAGCCTCAAGTCCCATATTCTTGAAATTTTAACGTACACGCTATTTTTATTGCGCAATTCTTTTATAATATAATTAAACCTCGGCTGGGCCTAAAATTCTCATCCGCCCAAGGGTGGAAATTTTCAGTAAAATGAAACGTGCACCCCAATCACAACCATTATATATTATTCGTGAAAAGAATAGAATGGCTGCGATTGGTTCGCGCGTTCCGTTCCGCTAAAAATTTCTGCTCACGAGACATCGCCGTAACGGTTAAAGCCTTCACACACACTTTCCGTAACAGTAACCGTAAGACGTAACGTAAGAATTGACCAATCACGTTGAGAATCGTCGAAACATAAGGTCGCCATTTTTGTGAATACTCCATCGTAATTGGTCAATTCTGGTCAATTCTTACGTTACGTCTTACAGCTACTGTTACGGAAAGTGTGTGTGAAGGCTTTTATTCCTCTTCAAATGTTCTCTTCGTTCTCTTTATGAGTTGCGGTCAGGAAAAATTTTTTGTTTAACGTAGAATAATTCAAAACATAAGTTTTAGAGATTGCAAGTGTGATACAGCAAGATCACCATGTCACAAGAAAAGTAAGAATATTTACTCTATTATCTTTATTGCATGCTCTGAGGATACTCCTAGGGCGGAATTCATAGATGAGTCTTAAATTTCAAGACGGTCTTGAATTCATCTTTAGATGCTGTACGTACCGTTTTATTCGCTACGAAACATCTGCAGATAAATTCAAGATCGCCTTGAAACTCAAGACACGTCTATAAATTCCGTCCCTAGACATTGACATATACTCAAAACATCCTCGAAATATTCTCGGGATATCTGTGCTGTTAGAAATAAATTCAAAAATTAGAAAAAAAGATTATAATAATAAAAATTTGCTGTACCTCTTAAACAAAATTTATTCATATATGCATTGCTATTGTTTCAGATGTACACAGCGACCAAAACGGGTCATAACCAAGCCTCCTCGATACCAGTCAACATCGTCAGATGAACAACCCCAGAAGAGACGCTTTGCAGCATCTGCTACAACTGGTACCATCCACGACGACATTGGGGAGATAACAAGAACTCTGGAAGAGGAAGATGCACACTCACACCCCATCCATACAAACATACACAAACACATTACCAACACAAACACATTTTATATCGAATAAAGAAAACGAACAAGTTTTCTACAGCAACAGTTTGCCTCAGTTGCGAACTCCACAACCATTGCAGGAGAGAAGCTTCCAATTTGGGTTGAGTGGCCAGGATGGTGCAATTTTCCCTATGCAGGATACTCAACATGATAATTTAGAAAAAAGGTTAGTTCATTATCATCAAATATATGCTAAATAATTTTGATACATGATAAAATATATAGTTATTAAATAGATTATTAAAACAAATACGTATTTTTTATTTGAATTTCTGAAAGGAATTAAAAATTGTGTCTATTACTATTAGAAAGTATTTATAATTGTTGCTTTCATTATAGGAGAACGGAAGCACTCTTGAGCAGAATGGAGGAACGTATAAGTAACATGGAGGCTGAAATAAAGTAAGTTCTATAACAAATAATTATGTGTTTATACACACACACACCCAGCAATGTTACATATAATGTACATGTTTGCTGTAATTTCCTACTCAACAATATAACTGTTTGTTACACGTGTATTATATGACAGTGATATCGTTGAGTGGGATGTTACAACTAACATGTACGTAACATGTAACACTGTGTTTGCTGAATATGTATACAACCTTACTGTGTTTCTTGTTTCTTTTCAGGAAAATAACTGCAGGTATAAATAAAATATTAAGGTGCGTTCAGGATCATCGATCCGCAGTGCGAAAATCAGATGGCTTACCTATTACAAGTATGGAACAGATGCAGGAGTTTGAAGAATCGGTAGAACAACATTATACCGATGTTGTAAGTAAAATTAATATCTTTTACGTCACACGAAAATTACGTACATAATATGCTGCTTGTTTTAGGTCAATTATTTTCATTATATTGGCGGCTTCACTTTAAAGGAAGCAACCAATCTTTGCCTCAAAGAGGCTTTGCACGACACACTGGCGTTGTCGTATACTTGGTTTGGCCGCGATGAAGGACGTCAACCATTATATAAAACTCGGCTTGTTAAGGCCATCTATAGTAAGAAATATTTTCAGTCTTCAGAGAGACAGAGAGAGAGAGAGAGAGAGAGAGAGAGAGAGAGAGAGAG